AGTCCCTGCCTGGCTCCTCCAGGACTGTATCCCATAGGCAGCGCCTATGGGACAGTGGAGACCAGGCCTGCCCCCGGCTCAGACAGGCCTGTGTTGGACCAGCCCTGCGACTGCAGTTTCCTCATCTGTAACATGGCGTCAAGAGCACCTGCCGCAAGGGTGCTGTGGGGTTCCATGGGAAGCCAGAGAGCAGAATGGTTATCAGCTGTAGCTTCAGAGCCAGCGAGACCAGGCTTTGAGGCCAGCGTGGTTCTCAGTAGCCATGTCCAGCATGACCCAGTAAGGACCCCTGGTCTCTGAGCCATGGCCTCACCCTCTGTAAGATGGGGGTGGGAACAAGAAGGATCTCATGAGCTTGCTGTGAGGATTACAGGAAAAACACATGGGCACTACTTGGTCCAGAACAAACCCTCAATAAATGACAGCTGCTGCTCCTGCTGTTACAGGATGCCTAGAACATGGTCCGTGGTACCTAGCAGATGGTAAAGTTGTCTTCATTGGATACACACAGTACGTGTGGTGTTGCACTTAGGACAGTGTCTGGCACATGGGAAGCACGAAGCAGTGAAATAAAATAACATGGGGCCAGGTTCTCATGTCTGTAATCCCAGTACTTTGGAAGGCCGAGGTGGATGGATCACTTGAGGTGAGGAGTTACAGACCAGCCTGGCCAATATGGTGAAACCCAATCCCTACTAAAAAATATAAATAATATGAATTAGCCAGGCATGGTGGCGGGTGCCTGTGGCAGAGGTTGCAGTGAGCTGAGATCGCACCACTGCACTCCAGCCTGGGCGACAGAGTGAGACTCGGTCTCTAAATAAATAAATAGGAAAAAAAAAAAATAACATGGAAATACAGCATGAAGGAAGAAGACTCCATCTCTGCCCTAAAGACATTTCCAGTGTATTTGGGTTCTTGTTCCATTTATTCCCCTCCCAAGTCAGGCCCAGTGTTTGACATCTTTGACACCTGCAATACGGCAGAGTTGGGACAGGCTGTCCTCAGGGAGCTCACACTGTAGAGTGAGGGAAACAGACCAGAAAATGGTGCTACTGGAAGTGGGGTTGGTCTCTGGGTAGGTCCCCGACAATGTAAATGTTGGCTCTTACCCTTCCCTCCCCCTTTCTCCCTCCCTGCCCCCGGACTTTCCTCCACCCCAACTATCTATCTTGGCACCAACGCCAGGTTAAGATTCCCCAAATGCCACACTGATGATGCTTCTCCTTTGCTGAAAGACTCGGTGCTATCCAAGTTCTGCTGCAGCATCCACATGCCTCAGTAGAGAGAGGCAGTCCTAGGTGGGCAGGGGCTGGCCCAGGAAATGTGGGGGCTCTAACTCACCTTCCTGACTTTTTTGGTTTTTTTGAGACAGGGTTTCACTCTGTCACGCGGGTTGAAGTGCAGTGGTGTGATCATGGCTCACTGCAGCCTCGATCTCCTGGGCTCAAGGTATCCGCTTACCCCAGTCTCCCCAGTAGCTAGGACTACAGGCACATGCCACCAAGCCTGGCTAATTTTTTTTTTTTTAATTTTCTGTAGCGACGGCAGTCTTGCTATGTTGTCCAGGGTGGTCTTGAACTCCTAGGCTCAAGAGCTCCTCCCACCTTGGCCTCCCAAAGTGCTGGGATTACAGGCGTGAGCCACTGCATCTGACACCTTCCCAACTTCTCCTCAGGTCAACTTGTTTCATCCCAACTGGCCCACACCTGGCCTCGGGAATGCCCTTATTTCTCCCCATCCAGCTTTGCTCTTTTCTCTTTCCCCACTCAGTCCACCCTCCCCTCTCCCTACCTCCCGAGACCCTCCCTGGACCCTTTTCTCTGACACTTTGTTGGCTGGGATTACAGGCGTGCACCACCACGCCTGGCTAATTTTTTATATTTTTAGTAAAGACAGGGTTTCATCATATTGGCCAGGCTGCTCTCAAACTCCTGACCTCAGGTGATCCACCCTCCTTGGCTTCCCAAAGTGCTGGGATTCCAGGTGTGAGTCACCACGCCCGGCCTGGGCTCCCCCTACTCTTGAACCAGATGCAGGTGGTCTCCTAACTGGTCTCTCTGTGCTTCAAACCACCCTCCCTGCAACCTAAGGTTGATCCATGTTGCAAATCTGACCGTGTCACTCTCCTGCCTGCCACCCTTGCGTGGATGAAGTATCTCCTGCTCTAGTTTTGCTTTAGCTGACAATGGTCAAGGCCTCACTAAGTGCCAGCAGTCCTGCCAATCTTTCAAGGCCACTTCACATCCCATCTCATTCACCCATTCATGCATTCAAACATAATAAATGCCAGGGACTCTGCTAGGTGTTTTTTTATTTGTTTTCTTTCTTCTTCTTCTTCTTCTTTTTTTTTTTTTGAGACGGAGTCTCACTCTGTCACCTAGGTTGGAGTGCAATGGCATGATCTCAGCTCACTGCAACCTCCACCTCCCGGGTCCAAGTGATTCTCCTGCCTCAGCCTCCCAAGTAGCTAGGATTACAGGTGTGTGCCACTGTGCCCGGCTAATTTTTGTATTTTTAGTAGAGAAGGGGTTTCACCACGTTGGTCAGGCTGGTCTCGAACTCCTGACCTTGTGATCCGCCTGCCTTGGCCTCCCAAAGTGCTAGGATTACAGGCATGAGCCACCACGCCCCACTGTTTTTCTTGTTTTCTATCATTTTATTTTTAAAAAATAGAGATGAGGGGGCAGGTGCGGTAGCTCACACCTGTAATCCCAGCACTTTGGGAGGCGAAAGCGGGAGGATCACTTGAGCTCAAGAGTTCGATACCAGCCTGGCCAACGTGGTGAAACTCTATCTCTACTAAAAATACAAAAATTAGCCAGGCGTGGTGGTGCATGCCTGTCATCCCAGCTACTCAGGAGGCTGAGGCATGAGAATTGCTTGAACCCAGAAGGCAGAGGTCGCAGTAAGCCGAGATGGTGCCACGGCACTCCAGTCTGGGTGAGAGAGTGAGACTCTATGTCAAAAAGAGAGAGAGAGAGAGAGAGAAAGAGAGAGAGAGAGACAGGGGTCTCACTATGCTGTCCAGGCTGGTCTTGAACTCCCGGGCTCGAGTGAGCCTTGGCCTCCCAAAGTGCTGGGATTACAGGTGTGAGCCGCCACACCCAGCCTATGCTAGGTATTTACAGACATTTCATAACTTAATCTTCACAACAATGCTCTGGGGTCACAACTTTTGTAAGTCCCATTTGGCAAGGCAGAAAGCCAAGGCTCAGAGAGGAAGTTGCTCAGGACACACCTGGTGAATTTTAAGTAGCAGGATTCCAGTACACCTTTGATCCACTCCCTACCAAGGAGAAAAGCTTTATGCAGAAACCAGGGCATTGGGTGGTAACAGGGAAACTTCTCCCAGTACAGGGCCAGGATGCCCAGTGTTCGGGCTAGCTGTGTGTGACATTGGATCAGTGAGGGGAGCCTCTCCCACATAGGCCAGGACCAGGACTGAAACCAGTAAGGAGAGGAAGCTAAGGAAACAGCTTCCTTGTCAGCCTCTGTCCCTCCCTGGTCCCAGACCACATGGTGGGGTCCCTTTCCCCATCCTGAGGTCCACAGAATGACAGTCCCCCTCCGAGTTAACTGGGAAATAACTCAGAAAAGCCACCCGCAGAACTAATCCCTCCTCCTCCTTGGGGAGGACTTGGAAAAACTGAGAACAGCCAAAAGCCAGAATGGAAACTCAGTTCTCCTGACTGGGATCCAGGGCCTGCTCTACTCTTCCCCCTTAGAAGTCCTTCCCAAGGATCCCTGACATTCCATGGTCGGGGAGCAGGAAAGAGGCCTTGGCGGGTACTCACTCACCAGCTATGTGAGTAGAGCGGTCACTTCGCTTCTGTGGCTTCATCTGTAAAATGGGTATAGCCCAAAATACCAGACTCACAGGGCTGCTGAGAGCTTAAATGAATAACACACTTACGCAAAGTGTCTGGCATACAGGTGCTCAGCCAACCTCAGGTCCAGCTATGTCGTTCTCTAATAACTTAGATGAAGGAAAGAACCCACTCCCACCCACCCCGCCCCCCACCCCGATACACACAAAGGGCAAATGAAAAAATATGACGAAACACATGCGGGTCAATGCTATGGGGATTCCTCGTCGGGGAAGTTTCTTCCCTTATCAGCAGTTGGATGACGCAGATGGCACAAAGGAAAAACAAGAACGCTCGGACCAATGGGAGGACTGCGATTTGGGGAAGCACTCATTCTTTTCCCAGAGATCGGGAGTTCGACCTTCCCCATACACAGTGATTTGGCTTCACTAGCCCAGACTGCGGGCCTGCAGGGAAGGGCGAAGCGGGGCGGGACTGGGGGTGGGAGCTGCGCGAGGAG